TGCCAAGTTTGTACACTGGACCTGACTCTAGTTCTTGTAAGAAGAGAGTGTGGAAGCAGATTTCCCCAGAAGGGGTAGGAGGAAAAAAAAATAGTAAGATACAATGTCAGTAAACAAATACATGAGCTCTGCCAAGCAATTCTGTTTCACCCTGAATGCCGTATTTGCATTAAACACACATCGAGGACAAATGGACTACCTCCATTTACTGGCAGGTCAATCCAGACAACTCACAACTTCTGATGTATAGCTCCAACGTCTGTACTCTGAGAAAACTTTCCTTATGAAGCTCTTTAGAACACTCCCTTGGGGTTCTGTTGCCTATAATGAGGAAAAGACAGGCAAAGAAAGGAAAAGAATGAAGAGAATAAACATAAAGGGAGTTTCCAAGGGCTGTTAGTTGCTCAATGAGTGCAGTCATGTGCTCCTGTGCATATGTCGACAGATCCAGGCTCAGCCTAGTCCCAGAGATCGATGTGCTCACTAATCAAAATGATATGAGAATCATAGTGCTACAATCACAGAAGTGATAGCAAGTGGCTTTTATTATACTCTCAGCAATGACAGCCACATATGTTCTACAGAAATGCTTCAAAGCTAGGAGTTGGTGGAATGGATAATTACCTACTACTGTTGGGAGAGGGTTCTTCCTCTCCAAACTAATGTTTCCATGTGCAGCAACTTCCCAAGAGAAACACACATGGCCCAACACTCCACTTCTACCTTATTTCTCCACGTATACTACCCATTGTGAGTGACTACTTTTCTCAGTTAAGAAGGGCTAATTTCTTAGAAGGTAGGGAGCACTGAAGATTCAGTCTCTCTTCTTCTCTTTCTTTCCTAGACCATTGAAGGAGGGTGATTCAAAATGTGCTCTGCAGAACTCACATCCTTCCTCATGTGGGCTGTCTCAAATCTAGACTGGATTATGGGTGAGGCTAAGGATCTAAGACAGGGAGGAGAAAGCTGTAGAAAGCTAGTTTGTCCTCAGACATAAGCCACATCCCCAATCAGCATTATCTATCATGTTGGTAGTGTTTTGATTTTTCTTTTCCAGACTTTTCTGGGTTCTCATCTAATCCAAACTAATGCAAAATCCAGAGTTTAGTCACAGAAGGTATAGGATCCCAGTAAATATTGCAGAAGTAGCAATATATTAACTTCCTTCCTAATACCATGTGTGTGTTTGTGTGTGAGCATGTACAAAGCTAAATGAAAAGTGGAAAAGATAGTAAATTGGGTCATGGAT